TAGCCACTACAGTGACCATCAAAATAATGAAAAAATATTGCCATAAACAGTTTATTTTGCGACACCACGAAACAAACGATAGCGTAAAATGAAACGATAAATGTTTTTATATCGTCATCCGATATATATCGTTATATTGAACAGCCCTGTCACACTTTTTCACTAGTGTTTCACTACAGCTCAGAGAGTAAATGGTGACTGTTTACAGACAAGTTAATGTCTTCGATACAAACTTCTCCTATCTGCTAGCAACAAAAAAAAAAAATCACAAGGTGGTTTTTGATTGCAACACACTCTTTGTGATTGATTTGGGTCAAATTTATACATTTTGGTCACACTCTTTTTGAAAAAGGTAGAGCAAGCCGTCAAGCAGTAGCACATCCTAGATTGTATTAGAGAATGTGAAAGGTCCCGATATGCTGATTCTGAAGTAAATTACAAGTACTTTAAAACTACACTGAAGCACAGAATTGAAGTCAATGTGATCAGTTTTAGCATCATTCAGAGAGGTTTTTGGGAGTCACCCGAGGTCCACAAAAACTTGAAAAGATAAGCTTGAACAGGTCCAACTTTTTTCAATAATCCTAAATAACACTGTATAATTGAACTCTCCACCAGCTATGTAGTTACAATAGATGCAACAAATCAATTCAGCAGTTTGTGAGTCATATTTCAGCTCAGGTTGATGGATTTGGTGGACACTGTAGATCATTTTACAGTCTTGTAGGTGTGGAGCAAAACCCGAAGGACAAGCGTTTTAGGAAGAAGTGAAACCTAAAGTGAGAACTATAAAATATTTCTCTCTCTTTCAAAGATACTTGAACTGGATTATCCAGCCTTCTTCAACAACAGAGTAGAGCGCTTCTGTCCAACACTGGTGAGTAGAGATGATCATTAAAAAAATAGTCCTCTCATTTTAAATAAGAGTAACTCTCAATCTTGAGCTGTGAAAAGTGACAAACATTTTTTGTTCTTTGGTCACTGAAGCATTCATCAACCAAAAAGAGGAAAGGGTAAAAATGGGTTGAGGTTCTGATTTTCTTTTTGCTGATTTTTAACATTAAGTCCATAAAGTCCAGTCCTCCTGTGTTTGAGGAATCCTGGAATCCAGTCTGACGAGAATGAGATGGGACAAAAATCTGAATAGGTGACATTCCAACATTTACTGGATGAAAGTAAATGTTTGTGTCACAGCAGACTTTCAGTTAAATACTGATACAATCTGTTATACTATCCGTTTCCCTTTAAAGGAACATGAAACTGAGTTCATACAGCCATTCTCAACAGCACAGCAGAGATTTTGTCCAATACTGGTGAGTGCAGATAATCGTGATCACACAATTTAAAAGTCCAAGCCAAATGTGGATCTTTCTTTCTTTGTCATTATATGTAAATTTTATGCTGCTGAAGCTGGTGTGTTTGTTTGGTTTTACAAAAGGATGAAATAAGAGTTTATTTAACAGCAGGACTGATCAGACTACATTTGTTGGACAGAGAAAAAAAGTTTAGAGTTAAAACCTTTCATCCCTAACTCCCAAAAGGTGGATTCTGTTCATCTGGACGTAGGGTTTTCAGTGGGAGAAACGTTTCATGACTTGGATGAGTCATGAAACGTTTCTCCCACTGAAAACCCTATGTCCAGATGAACAGAATCCACCTTTTGGGATTTACTTACCTGGATGACTGAGCATGCATCAAGACTTTCATCCCTAATCTCAAGGTCTGAAAAGCTTACTACAAGGGTGCCTGACACACCTGCAGAGAGAGGTGGGATTAAACGGAGTCCATCAGGTTGTCTTCAACAACACAGCAGAGTCTCTACAAGCAGTGGTGAGTCTAGTTGATCACATTCATGTTTCAGTGCAAATCTTCGATTCACTTTATTCATTTCATGCTGACTTTCTTTGTCTCCAATCCGCTACCTTAAGTATGTTTTCACTACAGCCATTTCCATCCTCTTTACGATATCCTCAACTGTTATTCTGCATTTCTCTCCCTATATCCAACACAGAGGGAACAGAGGTAATTCTCATCACCTCTGTTCCCTGTTCCCTACATTCATGATCCAGCCTGACATGCATGGGATTGTCATCAAACAGAACTAAGAGAACAGAAAAAAAAAATCTTGAAACTGATTCTCCACAGGCAGCCTGGAACAGGACATATGTGGCAGGAAAGAAGGAAAAGCAGAATGGATCCACATTAAACAGAATGAAAACTGAATTTTAAATATAATCAGTTTCTTTTCTCTTTCAGAGTGCAGACATGTCTGCTGCCAGCTGTCTTCTATCTCATGATCAGTTTCAGTGCTCCATCTGTCTGGATATCTTAACTGATCCAATCTCCACACCATGTGGACACAACTTCTGCAAAAACTGCATCAGTCAACACTGGGATATTAGTGAAACCTGTCAGTGCCCCACATGTAAAAAGGTGTTTGAGACCAGACCTGAGCTGCACATCAACACTTTCATCTCTGAGATGGTTTCTCAGTTCAGACTTGAAGCTCAGCAGAAAGTCAGCAGCAGCAGTTCAGAGCAACAAGCTGCCAAACCAGGAGAAGTTCCCTGTGACATCTGCACTGAAACCAAACTGAAGGCCCTGAAGTCCTGCCTGGTGTGTCTGGCCTCCTACTGTCAGACTCACCTGGAGCCTCATCTGACAGCTTCATGTCTGAAAAGACATCAGCTGATTGATCCTGAGGAGAACCTGGAAGGCAGGATGTGTATAAAGCATGATAAACCTCTGGAGCTGTTCTGTAAGACTGATCAGACATGTATCTGCATGCTCTGCTCTGTTATAGACCACAATACTCATGAGTTTGTTCCTTTGAGAGAAGAATATGAAGGAAAGAAGGCAGAGCTGGGGAAGACTGAGACTGAAATTCAACAGATGATCACGAAGAGACAACTAAAGATTCAGGAGATCAAAGAGTCAGTGAAGATGAGTAAAGATGCTGCAGACAGAGAGAAAGCAGAAGGTGTTCAGGTCTTCACTGCTCTAACGAAGTCTCTCAGGAAAAGCCTCAACGAGCTCATAAAGGAGATTGAAGATAAACAGGAAACAACAGAGAAACAGGCTGAAGGTTTCATCACAGATCTGGAACAGGAAATCTCTGAGCTGATGAAGAGAAGCTCTGAGGTGGATCAGCTCTCACGCTCTAAAGATCACATCCACCTCCTCCAATGATTCTCATTCCTGAAAGCTGCTCCAGCCACCAAGGACTGGACAGAGGTCAGTATCCATCCACCATCATATGAGGGGACTGTGGTGAGAGCTGTGGATCAGCTGAAGGAGACTCTCAGTAAAGAAATGAAGAAGCTGTTTGAGGCTGAGCTGAAGAGGGTCCAGCAGTATGCAGTGGATATGACTCTTGATCCTGATACAGCACATCAGAAACTCATCCTGTCTGATGATGAAAGACAAGTACACTGTGGTGAAGAGGAGAATGATCTTCCAGACAACCCAGAGAGATTTTCTAAAGGTGTTTGTGTTTTAGGAAAGCAGAGTCTCTCTTCAGGCAGATTTTACTTTGAGGTTTGGGTTAAAGAAAAGAGAGACTGGATTTTAGGAATGGTCAGAGAGTCAGTCAACAGAGAGGAAGAAATCACACTCAGTCCTGAGGATGGTTACTGGACTGTAGCAGTAGTAAATGGAAATGTATGTGTAGCTTTTGAGGACTCCCAGGTCCGTCTCTCTCCTCAGTTTTGTCCTGAGAAGGTGGGAGTGTTTGTGGATTATGAAGAGGGTCTGGTCTCCTTTCATGATGTAGATGATGCAGCTCTTATCTACTCCTTTACTGGCTGCTCCTTCACTGAGAAACTCTACCCATTCTTCTGTCCCGGTGTCAATGATAATGGTAAAAACTCTGCACCTCTGATCATCTGTCCTGTCAATCAGTCAGTCTGAACTTTTTCGATCCAGAAACTATATTAATTACATTATTCTCAACATTTTAACAGCACAGAGAAGAAGTCCTAAAAACAGAACTGAACAAACTGCACCTGTTGATAAAAAACCATGAGATATGGTCAGAAGCTTCAAAACAAACTAGTGAGCTCACCTTTCAGTTGATTTTTATTGAACTGTTTTCAAGTTGAAGAAAAAGATTTCTTTGAGGAAGTGAGAAGAGTCTGAGAAAATACAAACTCTCCTTTACTTTTCTCAGTTTTTAAAGGCACAGACATTAAAGCATAAACTGTACAAATGTTAATATTTCATTATTTTTATTCACCTGGGGTTAAATATCAAAAACTAGGATTGATAAACTGTTCTGTTGTTTTAACATGAAATGATTAAAAATATGAACTTTTATCATCTCCTGTGATAGTTTCATTGAACAAAGCTGTTCAATTTTTTAACCTTGCCAGTTAAGTTATAAGAGAGAACATAACAGACTGGCGGCGAGGTTAAAACGGATCCCGGATGTGCAGTGGGCGACAGAGAGGGGGAAATCCTTGTGAAAGTGGCCAAAAGATGCGAAAAAAGATACGAAAAAACCAACTAACCCTCCATGTGGATGCTAACTCTCCTGCCTAGCTAGTGAGCTGCAGAGAGGACGTGAGTAACATCAATTCTTCTTCTTCTTCGTGAGGGACGCTTAAAGGCACCGAGAAAATGTCAGGTGTTGTTGGACAAATGTACATTTTATGGATCTGCTAAATGGATCATTTAAGTTCAGCTTTTAAATTCATTTAACCCTCTACTGCATAGCGTTGCCCTGAGGCAACAAACCACATTTTCATGTCTCACACTGGCCCTTCAAAAAATAAAAAATAAAAAATAAAAATTCTCCATTTGGAGGTAAGATAAAGACAGAGGACAGTGAGCTTTTAGGGAGTGACAGTGAAGTTAAGGAGTGGATCCCTGAATCAAGTAAAGTAATTGTGTGTGTGTGTGTGTGTGTGTGTGTGTGTGTGTGTGTGTGTGTGTGTGTGTGCGCGCGCGTGTGCATGGGGTTAGGGTCAAATGTTGGATGTATTTGGTGTTTTATTGTTCTGTGAAATGTTTAGATTGTTTATTTGTTGCCTGTTTATTTGTTCATTTTTGTTGTACTAATAAAACTTATAATAGAATAACTTGGTGTTTGATTACCCTTATCGCACCATGTTGCCTTTAAGCAACAAACCAATATCATTTTGGGGAGGTGTCATATTTTATGATTGATATATTATTACGGACCCTAAATCTCCCCCAAAATAGGGTGAAATATTAATATTTCCCCAAAAAATAAAAAGTCATGCAGTACAGGCTTAAGAGACCTTCAACTGGGTGTCTTTCCTTTTGGTTTGTTTCTTTAAGAGTTGAGAATGTGTTAATTACATGAATAAAATGTAATTTTCTCTGTAGCACTTCATGGATTTCATAAGCAACACACTTTAGTTGTTTACACAAATCATAAAGGTAAAAAATAGTATCTACAGTGTTATCTTCATTTTAAATGTCAAAAAGTATTTGTGGCCCCACTTTTTCATTTGTGTGGAAACCGGGTCCAAATGGCTCTTTGGGTGTTAAAGGTTGCTGACCCCTGATATAGAATATGCTGGCCCATTTATGGACCAAATGTTCCTGGTTGTGGTTGATGCTCACTCATAGTGGCCAGAAATCATCCCCATAAAGCAAGCAACAGCTGCCAGCACGATCAATAGACTTCGGTCAGTGTTTGCACGCACAGGTCTGCCACAACAGCTCATAAGTGAAAATGGTTGTCAGTTTACTGGAGAGGAGTTCCAGTGTTTCCTTAGGAGTAACGGAGTACGATATATCACTTCAGCCCTCCATCATCCTGCAACAAATGGACACGCTGAATGGTTCATCCAGTCCTTCAAGCAGTCAATGAAAGCCAGTCGGACAAAGGGTAAGCCGCTACAACAGAAAATCTGCAATTTCTTACTGGCTTACAGGAACACCACCGATGCAACAACTGGACACACACCTGCAATGCTCTTCATGGGACAGAATCTGAGATCGCGTCTAGATTTGCTGAAACCAGACATTCGCAAGGATGTCCAAGGTAAACAGTCTTCCATGGTGGAAACAACAAGAAAAAAACCCAGATTCTTCAATGTTGGACAAAAAGTTCTTGTGTGAAATGTGAAAATGAAATTAGTTGAAGTGCCTCAATGGTTTGCTTTATATTATTAACAAATGTCATATAAACGTATAGTTCAGAACACTAAAGAAGACACGGCCCTGAACAATAAAGACTCTTACAGCGTGTCAATGTCTTACAAGTAAGTTTGCAGGAGACTCTCATGCACGCTTGTATGCAGAAGTTAATAACAAGGAACCATCTGCCAGTGGAAATTTACTAGAAGGGAGTAGGGCAAGGTCGCAGCCTCCCTGGAGCTGAGTAAAGATGTTTTGCAGCTAATAGACAATAACCTATGAGTACGCTATGCAACGTGGCTACTGAATGCTTGTGTAGCACTGTTGTTTAGACTAGAGTGGGACACCCTGTAACAAAACTGTTAAGTGGACACCACCAATTCGAGATTCGCTGCAGCGTGTCATACAGGACGCATCTCCCTTCCGGAAGTAATAAAAGTGTGAAATGGTCTACTGAGCAGTGTGTTATCTTCCATCTGATGGCTATGAGGAATCAAAAGAACTCGGTGAAGTGTTAATATTTAACACTTGCCAGAGACTACAGAGACCCAAGTCAGAAATGGCAGTCTGGCATGATTCTGTCATGGACCAGACCGCTGACATACATCATAAATGTTGGAGCCAACTCAGTCTGGCGTAGAAATGTTGATCAGATTCAGATAGATGCAGAAAGTCTCATGGTTCCAGAGCAACCGGAGAGCACAGCTACATCTCAAGATTCAGAGGAGTTTACCTTCGTGTGTGTGACTTAGAAACTGGCAGACAATGGTGGACAAAATGCTTGCTATGCATTCCAACAGACTAATGTTACATCTTCAACAGTCAAAATCCCTAAAAATATTTAGTTCATGATCCTGAGTACTGTCAGCACACCTGTTAATTGAATCGACCACAGCCCCAACTTTAACCTTTAATAAAATCCAAGCAGGTGAGTTGCAAAAAGATTCACCCACCTTACAGCTATTACGGAGGGAGAAGTTAGCGTTAAAGACCAAGACTGCTTTTGTATCAAGTTATAAACATGTTTTCTTCTGCTGTAATTCTGCACATTTTAGTGAAGTAATCCCAAAGGACTGACTCACTTATGGAGCCTGTCTCTAGTGGACAACAGAGCTGCAATTTCAGCACTGACACAAAACAGCCTTTTGACTGCCTTATTGTGTGCAGTCAGGGAAAGATTTCTGGAAATACATGTGATTCATATTTAATCCAGATCAAGCTTTCTGTAACTTAACTGCTACTGTAGCTGAAGTGGGTATTGCTGATTCTGAAGTAAAATACAAATACTTTAAAAGTGTTAAAATTTTATTAAAGCCAGAATTTAAGTAGCAGCTTTATTCAGTGAAGCTTTTGCTACTCAAACAGGTTCCATATTACTGAACTGTGAATATAGCAAATGTGGAAGCTCTAACAGGTGCTATGATATAATTTTCCGTGTTATTTGGAATTGTATTTAGTTGGATTGAAATAGTCCCTGAGCCATTTCTGGGCATCAGGCCATCTTTTGCCCATTTGGGCTTTAAAGGAGCTTTTGTTGCTCATCAAATTTTTTTATTGTACAGTCTGTGAACTCTCACCACGAGATGTCAATAGATTACAGATTGCTGTCAACTGAATTCTGGTTTTTGTAGGCCTCCTAATTCAAGTGCCTGTCCTTGCTACATCGCTAGTACATCTTTGCTATCGTGGCCCTTGTAGGCCACTTACATGGTCAGTCAGCCAAGAGAGAGCAAAAATATCAAATTAAGACACCATAATGGCCAGTGAGCTAGTTTATTCTAATGTTTGAGTTTTGTTGGTAGGAGGTAGCAGGCAGATGTTTCTTCCCTGCATCTTCAGCTTGTAGAATGAGTTCTGATTGTCATTGTGCTCAGGTAGGTTCCATCTGGTAACTACTGGGACATTTGATTCTATTACTGGACTTCTGTGCAAATCAAAATTTGTCCATAATGAACACTGTGTTCAAAATTAATGATGTCCATGAGTGCACATTGCAACAGGACATCCTAGGTCACAAGTCAATTATTTTGTGATCTCTCCCCTCTTAGACTGCTCCTCTCCTTTTTCTGTGTAATTACTGAAGCCCCCTGCATTTCCCTGCTTCAACATAAATCCTCTAAGTGTGAAAATAAATATTTCCATTCTCTGTGGTTCGTGTTTGGATTCTGCAATTGAGTTCACTTGTCACTGGTTTTGGTTGTTCATGATAAGTGTACTACTAACATTTAATTTCAATTAAAATTTCTACTTTAAGTGTGTATTTTGTCGAGAACGCCAAGAATGCAACTAAAATATAGGTGTGTTTCCACTCAACACAACCTGACTAGCAGTGAGAGAGAGAGGAAGAGAGAGGAAGAGGGAGAAAGAGAGCGAGAGAGAGTGAGTGAGCCAGGGATGGAGAGTAGCCCATCTGGCTACACTGACATCATGTAGTTTATCTTATGAACACAAGTAATGCTTTGAAATGAGATGGGAACAGAAGAGTATAGCTTCTTTAACAATGGCAGAAATGAAAAGCAAAGATTTAAAACATGAATGTCATTCAGACTTTTATTTACTGTTTCCACAGTTTTCAGTGGCTTGAACTAAATAAAGACCAAATGTTACATAAACACAAGGAGTTCATTACAGGTGTGTGATATTTTCCCAACATAACTCCAAAGTTAACCGTATCTAAATATTTAACATCACAATTACCCATCAAATCAATTATATATCACAGAAAATAAAGAAGTATATTTAATAAAGCCATCGGTGGAGCGGGAGGGTGGCTTGCTGGGCTTAAGCCCGGGTCATTTTTTCAGAAGCCTTTTGGAGTGTAATTTGTTACATAGTTAGATGCCTAACTGACAACTGTATAAAACAAAACCTATACACACAATATTCGAAGCACATAGCGCACAGTCGTAAATTCCCCCTAATTTTGGTATGATCCGAGCTCAGGCACTAGGTGACTGAGCACAGCACTTACGCATGTGAGGGAGGGGGGAGAAGCTGCTGCCTGCGAGTTTGCTGTAGGAGAAGTGCAGCCAGGCAGACAGAGGAGAGCTTAAGTTTGACCAAGTACCAAAGCAAATCATTTGTACTTTTACAATGTAAATATGATGGTGTATCACAAAAGATTGATATCAAACTGGTTACTTGACCCATATTAACACTTAGACCCCCGCTACTTGCTCTTCGAGTGAACCAACAAATGGCGAAATGAAAAGCCGAACAACAATGCTGTTTTTTTAGAGAGTCTTAGCCAGTGTTGGGTAAGTTACTTTAAAAAAGTAATTAATTACTAATTACTAATTACTTAGTCAATATTGTATTTAAAATACTTATCTAATTACTGTGTCAGAAAAGTAACTTAATTACTAAATAAGTAATTTAACTAAATACTTCTTAAAATAGCTATATACAATGAGTGGGCAAACAATAGACATTAAACTCTTTAAATAATAAATAACTTTTTATAAAGACAGAGACTCTACAGTACGCAGCGGTAGCATCTCTTCCACAATTTAGCCTGCAATCATTTTTTTAAGCTCACCTTCAGATGCTTTTTGTGCTGCTTAAGTAAAATCAACCGCGTTGTTATCCATGGATGATGAACAAGGATCACTCAGAAGTGTTCGTCTATGCTCTCGTGTCAGGCGCTTCAGTAGATTACTCGTGCTATTAACAGCGGCCGATAGTTTTTTCTCCCCAGGACATAGCTTACATATTACTGTAATATTCTTGTCTGCTTGTTTCAGAAAAGTGAAGAGACGGAAATATGTCCATTTCATAAAACAGCCACTTGCTTCAGCCAAGTCCGACATCTTCCGCTTTAGAATACGACTATGCAGCAAACTGGTGCAAAATGACGTGCAGCTGCACTACAGCGATGTTAAAGCGGCAGAGTTTACTTCTACGTTTAGAAGACAAATTATTGAAATTAAATAATGATATTCAGCGAGTTTAATTATTTTACAATGTAACGCAAGTACATTGTAAGTAACTGTAATTAAAATACCTAAAAATGAACAGTAATTAGTTACTCTGCTTTTTCAGTGGAAAAGTAATTTAATTACAGTAACGAGTTACTTAGTAACACATTACACCCAACACTGGTCTTAGCTTACATGTGTGTTTATTTCATATTTTCAGTTGTTACCCTCCATGGCTAAATAAAGCCCTCTAAATCGGTTTCAGTTATGTACTGATGAACACAACAATGGCCATAAGGAGCTTCTTTCAAAGAAAAAACTCAGGTAGATGTTATTTTATATATTATGCTTTGTATGTTTTTCAATATTTCTATATTTCTATGCAAAACAAGAGGAATTTCAATACACAGCAGTATGTTCACAGGTGAAACCAGATATTTACATACACTTTAGGGAAAAACAAGAACTTTTTATTTACTGTTAAACATCAATTTAGAGTTAACTTGTTTTGTTTTAGATAAATAAATATTGAAGCATCTTTCGAATTAGTTAAATGTCAGAATAAAAAGAGAGAGCTGTCTATTTTTTATCACTTTCATCAACTTTAGGAGTACACTAAGTTTATTGTTAATTAATAAGAGTTAATAAGAGTTTAAGAAGCTTCTGATAGGTTAGTAGAGGCCATGTGATTAAATTGGTGGCACACCTGTGGATCCATATAAGGCACCCCCAAAACACAGAGCCTGTTTCTTTGTCATGGGAAAATCAAGAGATATGAACCAAAACACCAGGAAAAGAATTGTGGACCTCCGTAAGTGTGGCTCAATTTTGAATACAATTTGGTGCCATTTGCAATTACGAAATACATACAATTTCTCTCTTTACTCTTAAAGTTAACAAATATGTTTTTTTATATTTTTCAATCAAAAAAATAAACATTTAGTCTGATTTGATGTTTTACAATTTGAAAAAAAAGATTCTGGTTCTGAGTAAATTGGTGGGAAATGGTGGCCTAAAGTAGTCCTGAATTTACTGTGAATTAACTATTGTAGTCCTGTTTTAATTCCAGATCTTTTTTGAACATAACTCAAAACACATTTCCTGAGGTCAGATGGCCCAGGAGTTGAGTGGGCTCAAAACTGGATTATAGATGGCAGACAGTTGGTGTCGTAAACCTACCAATAACAATATACCAATATTCAATGTGAAGCTTTGAGTGTAAAAAAACAGAAAAAAAAACATGTGGATCCTGAAATAATTGTAGCTTCCACCTTTAAAGGGCTGAAGAGGAAGATGTTTACAAGGAATCATTTAGAATATTTATAACTGACTGATTATCTGAAACTGTGTTTCTGATTGAAAGAGACAGACATGTACAGACTGAACTATCTGTTTAACAGTCAAAGTGTTTCTCTAACAGGAGGACAATCTGTACACTCAACTCGGCACAGACACACTGAGGAACCAGGAAACCAGACTGTAAATCCAGGATAAAGAGGTTCAGTGAATGTGGTGTTGAAGGTGTGGAGGTGAATCAGAGTGTCAGAGGAAACTCGGTAGAAGGACAGAGTGCCAGCAGGATGATCCACATGCACTGCTACTCTGTTAGAGACAGAGGAGGAGGATTGCAGATATATTTCTGTGTTACTGTGTAAGACAGAGTAACCCTTAACATCAGAGCAGAACAGAGACCAGGACTGATCATTCCTTCCAAAGACAAAGGCATTGCTGTCTCCGTTTTTTGAAATTCTTCTGTAACTCACCGATATATAAACCTCTCCTTTCCACTCAACCTCCCAATAACAGCAACTGATGAGACCATCTTTACATAGAAGCTGACAATCACCATCAAATCTGTCAGGATGATCAGGATATGACTGATCCTCCTCCACATGTGTCACCCTCCTGTTGTTATCAGACAGTTTGAGTTTTCTGTTTACTGTGTTTGTGTCGATTGTGAGTTGACAGGAATCTGATGGAGAGAACAAACAAAGTCCAGCTGGAGTTATTGATCCATCATCTGTTCATTGATTGACACTTTGATGGTGACAGATGTGAATGAGTGATGTGACAGTTTGAAGATGGTTGAATGTGTGCTGCTTTGTTTTCATGAATCACATTAAAAACACACTTACACTTCCTCAGACCTGGTCTCAGCCATTGTTCTCCAGCAGGCTCCAGAATGACCCTGAAAGGAGGAGGGGGGTCAGACCAGCACAGTCTCTTTCAGCATGCACACATGGACATTACATCGCTCTCATACTTTTAGACACTGATAAAGGAAGAGCCAAGATTTTCAGATATACACTTTAATCCATATGTGTATTGAAGAGCATTTCATGTAAAGATACATTTGTATGACCCTTTAGTTCCCCAACTCATTACTTTTAGGGAGGTGCTTCAGTCAGTAGAAATAATCCACATGTGCCATTTATTAGTATCACATGTTAAAAGAAAACTCCCGCCTATAATATTTTCCACATTTACTTTTTTCTCACTGCGTGTAATGAACTTTGGCTTTCTGATATCTGCCAAAAATAAAGTTAGTGTTCAATAGTGCTCTTTTTCTGAGTTTAGGAGATAAAATCAAAGGAGGGAAACAAGAAGGACATGGAAATACAGAGCAATGGGGCCAACGTGACACCAAGCAGAGGAAGACAGAGGACATACTGTAAGTACACAGAGGATAGCGGATGGAAAACAGGGGAGAATACAGCTGGAACAACAGAACAGGTGAAACAAAAATAAACAGTCAAAATAAAACAGGAAGTATAATAACTATGAATACAAACACTAAGACACAAAGGTATGGCACTGGGAAAAACAGACGTGGAACAAGACTGACTGTGGAGAAAGAAAGGAAACACCAAACAGAGAAACAGTACTGCTCTCTTTCAAAGGAAAGAGAGCAATACTGATTGTGAAGAACAATACAGACTAACCAATTACTTAAACACTTAAAGTATAATTAAAGGATATATATATTATATATATATATATATATATATATATATATATATATATATATATATATATAAAACACCCAGCACGCCCCTGCGGGCGGTTTATCCTTCAAGCTCGGGTCCTCTACCAGAGGCCTGGGAGCTTGAGGGTCCTGCGCAGTATCTTAGCTGTTCCCAGGACTGCGCTCTTCTGGACAGAGATCTCCGATGTTATTCCCGGGATCTGCTGGAGCCACTCGCCTAGCTTGGGAGTCACCGCACCTAGTGCTCCGATTACCACGGGGACCACCGTTACCTTCACCCTCCACATCCTCTCGAGCTCTTCTCTGAGCCCTTGGTATTTCTCCAGCTTCTCGTGTTCCTTCTTCCTGATATTGCTGTCATTCGGAACCGCTACATCGATCACTACGGCCGTCTTCTTCTGTTTGTCTACCACCACTATGTCCGGTTGGTTAGCCACCACCATTTTGTCCGTCTGTATCTGGAAGTCCCACAGGATCTTAGCTCGGTCATTCTCCACCACCCTTGGGGGCATCTCCCATTTTGACCTCGGGACTTCCAGGTTATACTCGGCACAGATGTTCCTGTACACTATGCCGGCCACTTGGTTATGGCGTTCCATGTATGCCTTGCCTGCTAGCATCTTGCACCCTGCTGTTATGTGCTGGATTGTCTCTGGGGCATCTTTACACAGCCTGCACCTGTCTCTGTGTATATATATATAAATGAAATCTTTGGCTACAAACAAGTCTCTCCATACCTGAGAGTTTCCTGACTCGATTTCTCAAGCAGAGTCACTCCTGCATCTCCAGGATGATTGTAGCTCAGGTTCAGCTCTTTAAGACGTGAGGAAGGGGAGCTCAGAGCTTTTGTCAGCAAAGAGCAACCTTCTTCTGTGATCATACATCCTGACAGGCTGCAGAAACATTACATACTCATAAAGAAGTGTGGTGCAGTGGACTAACATTATTTTGTAATTAAGTAGGATTTAGCACTGAAAAACTAAAGTCTACAGTTAGCAAAACCTACATAAAGTAGAACTAAGGCTAGTGGGACTGCTATTAGTTTACAGCCATTTGGTCATAAATAAATTTATGCAAAGACTAGAATGTTGACCAGATTAAGACACTAAGTTAATTTACAAAATTATTTAAATCATTATTCAATTCAAGGATTTATACAAATTGGAGCAAATTTACCTACAAAATCTAATCTTTGAAATATTTTTAAGCCAAAGCAAAGTAGTGAAAATAAAATATTAGAAAAAATTTTAATAAAAAAAAGAAAAAGAAATTATTATTATTGATTATTATTATTATTATTATTAATAATAATAATAATAATAATAATAATAATAATAATAATAATAAAATTAATAATAATAATAATAAAACACTGAAGGTTCTACTTTACAGAAGTAATAATAATAGATACTTTGATAAATTCCAGTAGACACATTCCCTCATACCCTGACTCAATGCAAACCAGATATTAAATCACCATAATTAAAACATTTTAGAACCCAGACCGGAGTGTTTCCAGTTCACAGTGTGGAGATTCCAGTCCTCGGCACAGCACTTCCACTCCTGAAACCTTCAAGTCATTGTTACTCAGGTCCAGATCTCTCAGACTAGAGGACTGGGAGCTGAGTACTGAGCAAAGAGCTTCACAGCTTATCTCTGAAAGGTTGCAGCCACTAAGTCTGGTGAGACATCAAAAGAATCTTGAGATATTTTTTTTTATTTGCTAGTGAATATATAGCAGTGTATTTAAAGCAAAAGAGTTTAAAACTTACAGAGCTTTTTCAGAAGCTTTGACGATAGGCAGCAGTCTCAGAAGAGCCTGCTCTGAAGCAGAGTATTTCTTCAGGTCAAACACATCCAGGTCATCAGATGACAGTAGGATAAAAACCAGAGCTGACCATTGAGCAGGAGACAATTCATTTGTAGAGAGACTTCCTGAATTCAGGGACCTTTGGATCTCCTCCACTAGAGAACGATCATTCAGTTCATGTAAACAGTGGAACAGGTTAATCTTTTGCTCTGCAGACAGACTCTCACTGAGCTTCTTCTTGATGTAATTAATTGTTTCCTGATTTGTCTGAGGACTAATTCTTGTCTGTTTCAGTAGACCTTGTAGGAGATTCTGATTTGTCTGCACTGAAAGACCCAGGAGGAAATGCAGAAATAAATCCAGGTGTCCTTTTGTGCTTTGCAAGGCCTTGTTCACAGCGCACTGATAGAAGTGATTCTCTGTCTGGGTGTTTTTTTGTTGTTCTTCCAGCAGATTGACTCCAGAATTGATAAAGGTCAGATGGACATGAAGAGCAGCCAGAAACTCCTGAACACTCAGATGGACAAAGCAGAACACCTTGTCCTGGTACAGTCCTCTCTCCTCTTTAAAGATCTGTGTGAACACTCCTGAGTACACTGAGGCTGTTCTGATATCGATGCCACACTCTGTCAGGTCTGATTTATAGAAGACCAGGTTTCCTTTCTGCAGCTGATCAATAGCCAGTTTCCCCAGAGACTCAATCATCTTCCTGCTCTCTGGATTCCAAGGTGGATCTGTCTCAACTCCTTCGTCATACTTGACCTTCTTCACTTTGGCCTGAACCACCAGGAAGTGGATGTACATCTCAGTCAGGGTCTTGGGCAGCTCTCCTCCCTCTGTGGTTTTCAGCACATCCTCCAGAACTGTAGCAGTGATCCAGCAGAAGACTGGGATGTGGCACATGATGTGGAGGCTTCGTGATGTCTCGATGTGGGAGATTATTTTGCTAGCTAGTTTCTTATCACTGAATCTCTTCCTGAAGTACTTCTCCTTCTGTGGGTCAGTGAACCCTCTGACCTCTGTCACCATGTCAATACAATTAGCAGGGATCTGACTGGCTGCTGCAGGTCGTGTGGTTATCCAGAGGCGAGAAGAAGGAAGCAGTTTCCCCTTGATGAGGTTAATCAACAGCACATCCACTGAGGTGGACTTTTTAGGATCAGTTAGGATTCTAGTTTTGCGGAAGTCCAGAGGAAGTCGACACTCATCCAGACCATCAAAGATGAACACAACTTTAAACTCTTCAAAGCTGGAGATTCCTTCTTGTTTGGGTTCAATAAAGAAGTAATGAATAAGTTCCACCAAGCTGAACTTTTTCTCTTTCAGCACATTCAGCTCTCTGAAAGTGAATGGAAATATGAACTGGATGTCCTGGTTGGCTTTGTCTTCAGCCCAGTCCAGGGTGTATTTCTGTGTTAAGACTGTTTTCCCAATGCCAGCCACTCCTTTTGTCAGCACTGTTCTTATTGGTTCATCTCTTCCAGGTGAGGCATTAAAGATGTCTTCTTGTGTTATTGATGTTTCTGGTCTGTCTGGTTTCCTGAATGCTGTTTCAATCTGTCTGACCTCATGTTCATTGACCTCTGCAGTCCCTCCCTCCGTGATGTAGAGCTCTGTGTAGATCTGATTCAGAAGGGTTGGGTTTCCTGCTTTAGCGATCCCCTCAAACACACACTGGACCTTCTTCTTTAAAGCACATTTAAGTTTATTCCGGCATATGCTGGGAATTTCTTAAAGAACACAGAGAGGATATAGCCTTAAAATAAAAACATCAACAAGTTCTGCTTTCAGAAGTAGCTATATAATATGAGATCGCAAATGTAATGTTATTCTACTACTATTTTAAATATTTAGAGTAACCCTCTTACTGCTCTCCAGGTGATCAGCCAGCTCCGCTTGCTTCATCATCCTCAGGAAGTGCAGAGTGAGCTTCACAAATGCTTCTCTGCTGCTGTTCATCTGCTTTTCATTCTCAGCCTTCAACAACTCTTCATCCTCCCCATGACTCGCTAAGCATTCTGGGTAATCTGGACCCAGAATGTTCAGAATCTTCTTCAGCTCAATCTTTACAAAATTAACAATGTTTTCCTCCAGCAGCTGAAATAGAATAGAATATGAATGATTCAATCAGTGTGAAATCATGAAGTGAAACATCAGATCCATGTTGGATACACTGGACTTCAGCCAGAATGTTTCCAATACAAATATCATATTTTGGTGTCTCTCAAACTAAAAAATAATGCCTAAATAATGGGGTGTTGGTTTCATCATATACTACTCCATTCTAAGACAACAGGTTGCTAACTAAAACTATAATATAATTTGAACTGTACCGCATATAAAATGCAATCAGAATTTCCCTTCATGATCACTACTCTTTCTCGTGATTTGACTTTATATCCTAGTAGTAGGAAATCTCTTAAGTAATATTTTTAAAAATCAACAAATTAAAATACCCTCAAATGTTTCCATTTCCTTTCCTTTGCTGTTGAAAAATGCTGTGACTTTCAGAAGTCACACCAGTGAAACACTAATTGTCATGGTCCTGGGTCAAGGACCCAGCGTTTTGTGATTATGATTATGATTATTATTATTTTCTCATGTTCTAGTTTCATTCTGATTTTGTATTCTGTTAAACTGCCTGGGAACTTCCTGTTTTATTTTGTAGATCCATATGTGACATCATTGTGTTCAGCTTGCGTTTCCCTGTCATCATGTGAATTAGGATCAGCTATGCTTCCCTCCTGTGTGTTATTTCCTAATTACCTTGTGTGTGTATATATAGTGGGCGTCAGTCTGTGCTCAGTGTGTGTCATGTATTTTTGGTTTGTCATTAGTTTTCCCCCAGTCTAGGTTTTTGAAGGTTTTTGCTCATCATTTTCTGTTTATGTCACTCTGTAAATAAACAGTCACTTGCATCACAGCCTTAGACTGGTTCGCATTATTAAGGATTTAAGAGCGACCTTCAAGTTTGATCTGTTTGGCATGGATGGCCCAGGCAAAGAGGATTCTGTGGCCTTCCTAAAGACTCTTGCCACTTGGTATTCCCAGCACCAACGGGCAGTTTCGCCGTCGCTGGTCACTGCTACACCATCCGACACTTCATCCCGGAAAAGATGGTGCCCCCACCGTCATCATCACACAACTCCTCAACTCACTCCTGTGGCTTCAGTTGGGACTGCTGACCACAGACCGGCAGTGAAAAACATCACAGTGAGCAAATTGGACTCTGTGGTGTGTGTACAGGACACTGGTTGTGTTGTTTCAGCCGTGACAGTAATAACTTTTCCATAAGCTTTATTGGTGCCAGTGGCAGGTTCTGGATTGTGGCTAGCTGCAGGGGAAAGGTAGAGTGGTGGGTTCAGGGTATAGTGTCATTGGAGGCTGTCTCACACACCTAACCCCATCATATAATCATGTCTCCCCTGTTTAAGATGTTGTCGGGACCTGAGAAGGGAGTTGTGTGTGCTACAGAAGCAGAGCAACTGGAAAGCGGCACTCTGGAAAACTAGATAATGAAAGATGTTTAAAGCTGCAATGCTGCTGTCGTCTAGTCCTTCGTTGCCACAGTGTCCTACAATCTTAAGTATGGCTGTGGACAAATCCATAACCAGACGTGAAGACAAGCAATTAAAGCAACACAACTACAACTCTGAATATTCTGAGTAACTGCTGAATTTCACATTTCTCTAACTCAGACATGCTGGGCTCTAAATAAATTCATTAAATTTGTTTTGTGAACTGAGGTGGAATAACTTTCCTGCACTAATGCCAGTGCTGGACAGTATTGGGAAGTAACAGAATACATGTGCCAGCGTCACGTACAGTGGCTTGCAAAAGTATTCGGCCCCCTTGAAGTTTCCCACATTTTGTCACATTACAGCCACAAACATGAATCACTTTTATTGGAATTCCACGTGAAAGACCAATACAAAGTGGTGTACACGTGAGAAGTGGAACGAAAATCAATACAATTAATAACTGCAAAGTGGGGTGTGCGTAATTATTCAGCCCCTGAGTCAATACTTTGTAGAACCACCTTTTGCTGCAGTTACAGCTGCCAGTCTTTTAGGGTATGTCTCTACCAGCTTTGCACATCTACAGACTGAAATTCTTGCCCATTCTTCTTTCCCATCAACTCTGACCAGCTTCCCTGTCCCCACTGAAGAGAAGCACCCCCAGAGCATGATGCTGCCACCACCACCATATTTGACAGTGGGGATGGTGTGTTCAGAGTGATGTGCAGTGTTAGTTTTCTGCCACACATAACGTTTTGCATTTTGGCCAAAAAAGTTCCATTTTGGTCTCATCTGACCAGAGCACCTTCTTCCACATGTTTGCTGTGTCCCCCACATAGCTTGTGGCAAACTGCAAACGGGACTTCTTATGGTTTTCTGTTAACAATGGCTTTCTTCTTGCCACTCTTCCATAAAGGCCAACTTTGTGCAGTGCACGACTAATAGTTGTCCTATGGACAGATTCCCCCACCTGAGCTGTAGATCTCTGCAGCTCGTCCAGAGTCACCATGAGCCTCTTGGCTGCATTTCTGATCAGCGCTCTCCTTTGACAGCCTTGTCTTGGTAGGTTTACAGTTGTGCCAAACTCCTTCCATTTCTGAATGATCGCTTGAACAGTGCTCCGTGGAATGTTCAAGGATTGGGAAACCTTTTTGTAGCCTAAGCCTGCTTTAAATTTCTCAATAACTTTATCCCTGACCTGTCTGGTGTGTTCTTTGGACTTCATGGTGTTGTTGCTCCCAATATTCTCTTAGACAATCTCTGAGGCTGTCACAGAGCAGCTGTATTTGTACTGACATTAGATTACACACAGGTGCACTCTATTTAGTCATTATCACTCATCAGGCAATGTCTATGGGCAACTGACTGCACTCAGACCAAAGGGGGCTGAATAATTACGCACACCCCACTTTGCAGTTATTTATTTGTAAAAAATGTTTGGAATCATGTATGATTTTCGTTCCACTTCTCACGTGTGCACCACTTTGTGTTGGTCTTTCACGTGGAATTCCAATAAAAGTGATTCATGTTTGTGGCTGTAATGTGACAAAATGTGGAAAAGTTCAAGGGGGCCGAATACTTTTGCAAGCCACTGTATTTAAAATGCAAAATATGAGTAACTGTATTCCTTTACAGTTACCATTTTAAAAGGTGGTATTCAGAATACAGTTACTTTGTCGAAATAAATGGATTACACAACGGTCTTTTCCTTTTTCATATGTTAGGCTATACATTCTTTATTTTGTGAGTGTTACAGGCATAGCCCTAAAGAATGGAGCCTCATGGGCAGTGCAGTCCGTGCTACAGGGAGAATGGACTGCCATACCGCTTACATGTCTGTGAGCACAAGGGAGGGAGAAAAAGGAGAGTCAAAAAGTACGAGTTGTCACCGACCAGAAACAGGAGATGGAAGCATATAAATACAATAATAACGACTGCAGTCAAAAAGATGGCCTAACGAGCCCAGTTTTTATGTAAGCTATTATATGGTCTAGTTGGAATTGATATGGCAAATAACCTTCAGTAAAAGTAATAAATCACACAGCAATAGTACATTCATGTAGTTGTAAAAAGCACGATACTATATGAAGTAATCCAAAGTATTCAGAATACGTTACTCTCATTGAGTAATGTAACGGAATACGTTACAAAATACATTTTGGGACATGTATTCTGTAATCTGTAGTGGCATACATTTTAAAAGTAACCTTCCCAACACTGGTGCTGGATTTTGCTAAAGTGAACAGAGACACCTTGTGTGTATAAGAACAAGGCATATAAAGTCTGCTGTGTTTTTAAAACCAATGCCAAAAGTCTTCACTGGATTTTATCATAGTGCCCTCCAATCTGGCCACCAAAGACAAAAAGTGTCTGGACTTATTTAAGTTGCTTGAAGACATTTCACCTCTCATCCAAGAAGCTCCTTCAGTTCTAGGGTCAAATGGTGAAGAGTCCCAGATTTAAGACCCGTGGGAGAATCTCCTCAAGAGGGACAATGGACTCCCTAATTATCCTCTACCTAATCACATGAGCCAAGGTGTGAAAATGGGTGTAGTCACCATCAGCCAAAGTTTTGGGTAGGGATGGGTATCGTTTAGGTTTTATCCGATACCGGTGCCAAATCGGTACTTTTGAAACGGTGCCGGTGCTTAAACGGTGCTCAAACCGGTGCTTAAAGAATGGAGAACACAAAATTGGTCCAAAAACCTCTCATGTTCAGCTGTTTTTTTTGTAAAAAGATAACAATGTTAGCCTTTTCTGCAGCTATGGGGCATATATGGTATCACTCTTGGCTGGAAGCAGTGCTTAAACAATGGAAAAAACACAAACTTTGTCCAAAAACCTCTCATGTTTAACTGTTTTCCACTTTTTCTTTGGTCATTTTAGCCTTTTTGGCCAGGGTGAAGGGAGTATCTGCCATCAAACAAGAAGACAGCCGCATGTAGCTATGATGATGTTTGCTAGTTCACCTTACATGCATTAATGTAATAACGTGGTTAGCCTACTCAACGTAAATTACACACGAACAACATTAAGCTACTCACGCAGAGAAGAACGGCTGCTGCTGCCATCATCATCCATCATCATTTCTGCTACACTGGCAGGGCTAGGGGCCAGGACTCTCCTCTTCGTGTTTTTGGGGGATGTTGCTAACTCCGGGTCCGATAACAGGCAACCCACCCGCAGTAGATGTGCTCGGTGTGAGGTCTCACAGCAAGCTATCAAATACGGCGCATTTCTCGGCTTTTAAAAAAAACGCTATGCGTCGCCAGGTGTTTCATCGGATTTGAGGTGTTACCTCCTTTGACAGTATCACAGTATCAGCTTAAAGCACTTGTTGCAGGCTGCTGAGTTTGCATATTTTGCTGTGAAGTACAGCCAGACTTTTGACCGCTTCGCCTTGGGCATTTTTAATCTGTAGCTCTGCTCTAAAAGAACGTACGTACCTGGGCCCGCCTACTATCCTCGGAAACGTAAAATGATTGGCTAGAATCTAAAGTGTATCACAGCTCAGGAAAAAAAAGCACCGAAATAAAGCACCGAAATGTGCGCTGCTTTTCGGTCTGGTTACTACCGTTTATGTCAGAACCGGTGCCATGATGGCACCGGACACCGGTACCCATCCCTAGTTTTGGGTGAGCCCATAGTGAAACCAGCCCCACCCTACCAAGTGATTCCTGAGGTCAGATGGCCCAGGATGTGAGTGGACGTTAAGGCGTATGGGAAGAGATCTCAAAACTGAATTATAGATGGCAGACAGTTGGTGTCATATGCGACCGCCTCTGTTCGAAGATGGTTGTTCACAGTGGACAAAGATGACTTCTTCCACTCCGCTTTCAAACCATCTGTCTACTCTGTCCAAAATGTGAACACTGGAAAGAGGTCACTCTTTCGAGGGCTTCAATCTGGGACTCTCCACCATTTGACCCTAGAACTGAAAAAGCTTCTCGGATGAGAAGTGAAACATCTTCTAGCAACTTGAAGAAGTCCAGACACTTTTCTTTCCAAGCTCCTTAGACTAAGATGACCTGGATGACTGAGAACCTTCACAGGCACATCCCAACATCCCATCCACCCACCAATCTGAGCCATGGTCTGAGTAACCCTCACACCCTGTACAGACCCTAAATATGGAGTCCAGATGTGCGTGATTCTGCCGGTCAGACTGATCTCTGGCAACCTCTGAGCTTTCCTGGTCCACTCTGTGGAGGAATCATGAAGAATTAGTTTACATCAGGTCTGTTCATACAGAGTCAACCACAAGCTAAACGCTCATGAAGTGAGGTCTGAATGTGAGCAGTGAATCAGATGACTCCCTTTAGTCGTAAATTTTTACTAGTCCTGATAATGCCATTGATAATCAGCAGCTCAGCCTGCAGCTGTTTGAAAATGTTAGCTAAGCTTAGTTTTGTCCTGACAGCTTTCCATTAGTTTCAGCTAAGATAAAAGTCCTTCTCTATCTGTATGTATAACTGGTTTCACAGGTCACCTTCCAGTTATCAGAAAATGTCTATGTTTGTAGTCAATTATTGTACCATTTCTTCTAAATATGTTCTAAACATGTTATAAATGTCTTGAAGAGGCATATTTCTGTCTAATGTATATTTTCAACATACAACCTTGTCTCCTCATGATCTAATTCCCTTTTACATTTGTTTTAGCTATTACTGTCAAACCTTTTTCAAGATGGCGGCGCACACTGTTGCAGCAGCTTACAGCTCTCCGTCTCAGTACTCCTTTTTTTGTTTAGTTTGCTTAGTTTGTATGTCTTTCTTATTTTTTTCTGCACTATTGGCTCTACTTTCAAAGTTTGCTACACCCGCCAGAGCCTCATAGACATCGGTGACCAGCATCAAACATCTGTTTCACTGGACTTTCTTCACACGCACAACATCCCAGATCACATAGCGAGACCACCGGGCTCCCCGTGGATTGTTATTGGGACTAGGCGGAGGCGCAGACGGAGGAAGAGGAAGCAAAAGCGGGGTCGTAGGTCCGGCATTATGCTGAGGCTAAAAAACAAACCACACAAGCCACCTCTGCCGAGCCTCTATCTCTCCAACGCCAGATCCTTTGTGCAAAAAACGGACGACCTGGAATTACAACTAGCGGGAAATCGCTATGTTCGTGACTGCTGTGCCTTGATCATCACTGAAACCTGGCTTCACCCGGGAATACCCGATGCTAGCGTGCAGCTAGCAGGCTGCACTCTGCTCCACTGGGACAGGACAAAGGACTCCGGTAAGAGCAAGGGGGGAGGGCTCTGTATTTACGTGCATGAAAGCTGGTGCAACAACGGGACAATTATAAACAGTCACTGCTCCCCGAACCTCGAGTACATGTCGGTAAGATGCCGGCCTTTCTTTCTACCGAGAGAGCTAACAGTAGTGATCATCACGGCTGTGTACATTCCACCCGATGCCAACGTAAACACGGCGCTCTCTATCCTGCTGAACACCATTAACGAACAGCAGCGGGCCCACCCAGATGGTGTTCACATAATTGCAGGTGACTTTAATAAGGCCAACATAAAGACTGTACTCCCAAAGTTCTATCAGCATGTCAAATGTCCCACCAGAGGAGAAAACACTCTAGATTATGTTTACTCCAACATCAAGCATGCATATAGAGCCACACCCCTCCCCCACCTCGGTCAGTCCGACCATCTCTCCCTCCTGCTGTCCCCAGCCTACACCCCCCTCAGGCGCAGTGCCAGTCCCACCACAAAGACTGTTACAACCTGGCCGGAAAATGCTCTCTCCAAACTACAGGACTGCTTCACAGAGACAGACTGGGACATATTTGAACACCAGGACCTAGAAACATTCACAGGATCAGTACTGGACTACATCAAGTTCTGTACTGCAAATGTGACAGTGGACAAAAGCATTCGGGTTTTCCCAAATCAAAAACCCTGGATGACCAGCGAGGTCCGCTCACTCCTCAAAGCCCGTGATGCTGCCTTCAGGTCAGGTGACAGAGCTCTGTACAGGGCTGCTTGAGCTGACCTGAAAAGGGGGATTAAAAAAGCCAAGTCAGACCACAAAAGGAACATCGAGTCCCACCTGTCCAGCAACAACACACGAGAGGTGTGGCAGGGAATGCAAGACATCATCAACCACAGAGGCAGTACTGTGAAAACAGAAAACCCGAGTGGACAGCTGGCAGAGGAAATAAACAGCTTCTTCGCCCGCTTTGAAACACCACAACAGCAGCACTCATCTGCTTCAGCCCTGCTCCCATCCTCATCCTCACCTGGTTCCTGCACCGCTCCATTCACTGTAACAGAGCACGATGTCAGACGTGTGCTCCTAGCAGTGAACCCCAGGAAGGCGGCCGGTCCAGATGGAGTACTTGGCAAGGTACTAAGAGCATGCGCACACCAGCTCACCCTCATCTTCACCAGACTCTTCAACCTCTCACTGGATCAGGCAGCCATCCCATCCTGTCTAAAATCAGCCACAATCATCCCAGTGCCGAAGAAGTCTCCCATCTCCAGCCTGAATGATTACCGCCCTGTGGCCCTCACATGAAATCATGAAATGCTTTGATAGACTAGTCCTTCAGCACATCAAGGATTACCTCCCCCCAGAATTTGACCCCCACCAGTTTGCATACCATGCAAACAGATCCACAGAAGACGCCATCGCCACAGCCCTCCACGCTGTGCTGAGTCATGCTCTTTGTGGACTACAGCTCAGCCTTTAATACAATCATCCCGGACATCCTCATCACCAAACTGGTCACTTTTGGCCTCCCTCCTCTCACATGTGCCTGGATAAAGGATTTCCTCACAAACCGGCCCCAGACTGTAAGACTCGGCCCTCATCTCTCCTCCACTCGCACACTGAGCACTGGCTCCCCACAGGGCTGTCTGCTGAGCCCCCTCCTGTATTCTCTCTACACCCACGACTGCAGTTCGACCCACAACAACACTCTCATCATCAAGTTTGCTGATGACACCACGGTAGTCGGACTCATCTCGAAGGGAGACGAGGCAGAGTACAGAGAGGAAGTCCTGAAGCTGGCAGCATGGTGTTCAGAAAACAACCTGGCACTGAACACTAAGAAAACCAAAGAGCTCATTGTTGACTTCAGGAGACACAGCACCGACTTGGCCCCCCTCTACATCAATGGGGAGTGTGTGGAGAGGGTCCACACTTTCCGGTTCCTTAGTGTCCTCATTTCTGCTGACATCTCCTGGACAGACAACATCTCAGCGGTCATCAAGAAGGCCCAACAGCGGCTGCACTTCCTGAGAGTCCTCAGGAAGTACAAGCTGAACTCCAACCTGCTGCTGACCTTCTACCGCTCGTCCATTGAGAGCCTGCTAACCTACTGCATCACGGTATGGTACGGCAGCTGCACCAAAGCAGATAGAGTGAGGCTTCAGAGTGTGGTCAAGACAGCACAAAAGATCATCGGCTGCCCTCTCCCCTCCCTGATGGACATTTATTCCTCCCGCTGCCTCAGCAGAGCAGCAAACATTATCAAGGACAGCTCCCACCCTGGCTTCAACATGTTCAGCCTGCTTCCCTCAGGGAAGCGCTACAGGTGCATCAACACAAAAACCCACAGACTCAAAAACAGTTTCTTCCCCAAAGCGATAACCACCCTGAACTCACACATGCACAGATAACACAGCCCCCCACTTCCCACTTCCTCTATGGACCACCACTGTGCAATACCAATTCTATGTGCAATAACTCAACTGTATATACAAACACTATTTATTACATATTACAAATGTATATTTCCTATGTTAATACTGTCTATATGTACATAGCGCTGCAGAACTGTACACCCCCCAGCATGTTTACACTGAGTAGGAGATGCTCTGTATCTCATTGTACAACTGTATAGTGACAATAAAGGCATTCTATTCTATTCTATTCTATTCTATTCTATTCTATTCTATTCTAATTTCCAGTCACCCAAGATAAATCTGAATTTATCTTGGTGAGTTTGTGGTATTTTTAAGTTTTGTACATTTTTGAAATGTTTCCTTGTTGTCTTTATTTCCTCAGGCGATCTTTAAAGTGGTTAAAATTTTCTGGGTTCAATTTATTGTCCTAGTTTATTTGTATTGTTTGTTTTAGTTTACTTTTCATTCCCTGTGTAAAGTCTGCATTTCTGTGTTCTGTATACTGTTCCTTCCTGTTTTATTTTGGCAGTCTGTCTTCTTTCAGATTTAGTTGTATGTTTCTTCCCAGATGTCTCCAATATGGCCTCATCTTCTCTTATGTATTTAAACATTTAAACCCTCGTTTGTTGTGCCCCCCCATCATGCTGTGTGTTCCTTTGGTTTCTGGTTTCCCTGTGACTCAGAGTTTTTGCATTCCTGTTGCCAGCCCTGTGTTGTTTTTGTATTTTGTTTGAAAGACTTCAGCATTAAAACTGTTTTTGAAGCTGGGCAACTTACTTATGTGATCTGAGAAGAACCATCTGCAACTCAATGCAAAGACTAAATAACTGGGTGTGGACATGAGGAGGAACAGAAGAACCAATGAGAACTATTTCTATGGGGTCTGTGTGCAGTCAGTGGAACATGGCAAGTGCCATGTACAGACTGACAATAAACTGGACTTCATTAAAAAAAACACAAAACACAGAAACACTCTTCAAGAAGGGCCAAAGCTTTCTCTATTTTCTGAGATTACTGAGGTCCTTTAACATTTGCTAGGTGATGCTCAGGATTTCTTATGAGTCTGTTGTGGCCAGTGCCAGTCTCTATTCTGCTGTGTGCTGGGGCTGTAGACGGAGGTTAGTGGATAGCAAAAGACAATAAACTGATCCATAAGGTCACTAACGTGGGTGTGGAGCTTGACTCTCTGGCAGGCATTTCACAAAGGATGACACAAATGGGAGTAATTGACAATCTTTCACATCCTTTCCATTTCATGTTGGAAAGCACATTCAGGAAAAGGCTCATTCCACCAGTGAATGCTACAGGAAATCATTCCTGTATGTGTCCATCAGACTTTATAACTCCTCATTATAACTTGTTTATATTGTACATAGTATTGTTGAACTTTGAAATATTAAACTGAATATTGTAGTTTGACCACCATCTCTGCTACAGCATTGGTTCCTTACACTTTAACTGCTGTGTTTTTAAAACAAACTCCATCGCACACCACTTTAAACATGAATATAGAAATGTGTGTGAAACAGATCTGACCTGACATTAAACATGTCAGAGACTATTCAGTCAAACTGTTTAAATAAATAAAGTCAGTTCCAACATTTAGATACAGATTACCTTTCTGCAGCCGAATGGTGTCCTTCCTTAAAACCTACAGGGATATACATTGACGAGTCACTTTTTAAGGACACACAGCTGGGTTCAGCTCCAGAAAAATCTGGTCTGCAATGGAGCCCGACAGAAAAAGAGAAAATAAAATTTAAAATAAAAAAAGTTAACAGTTTCTTCAATTGATTAAATATAGTTTAATTTAACTGAATTACAATTTGTCCCCTGGGATATTTTTCAGTCCAATCTAAACAATGAGAAGCACTTACTCTGCATTATTTGATGCTGCTTTTTGAAAATCTAAAATATTCGCTTTTGATCCGTCACTCTTTAAGGACACACAGCTGGGTTCAGGGTCAGGTTGATTCCTGTGAATAATGATGGGGCAGTGATGTGAGTGCTGAGCTGTGACATGGAGAAGAGTCGTGGACAGTTAGAGATGGTCATCTCACCTCTGAGCTGTGGTCTGGCTCTCATGTTCCCCACACAGAGTGGTTTTAGAGGGAGGGACTCCCTCCTGTCTGTCCTCACACTGATCCATGCTGCTGAATTCTCATCCGCATCCGCTCACACACACTTTCTACCTTCACCTTCCGAGGAAACACAAATCATTCATGTGCACATCAACTGAAATCCTCCTTTCCATCATGTGTGCTGTCCAAATATCAGCTGCTTCTTTTCTGCTTCCTCTCAGTGTCAGCTGAATGCAGTCAGACAGCAGTGTGAGGCAGAGGAAGCTGCCATCAGCGGCTCTACTTCTACTATCAGTCCACTAGATGGAGCCATGAAGCACACACGATGCATTCACTGACACACTGATTCACTCTGACTGGAAGCTTCAGCTCATTAATATTCAGTCAGGTCAACACATCTGAACATTTTCAAACATTTCAGCTGATCCATAATTCATAGAGGATCAGCAGAGTTAAAAGTGGGGAAGAACTTGGCGTTTAAGAACATTTAAGCATTCAAACATAAATATTGAACACATTAACTGAGTTTGTAAGTAGCTGAAGTAACTGTGAAATGAGGAAGTACTGAAAAACGTACTTCAAGACAGCACTAGAAACATACAGAAGAAAGTTACAGAATATAACATTTTAGTAACTGTTTCAAAATAAATTACTTAATACCTCTAATATCTTGACCATAGTATGAGTTCGTATTCTGACTTTCTGTTCACACTCACACACAAGATGTCAGATGGATTGTTGGTCAGCTTCCTTTGTTCACACCTTCCCAATTCCAGATTTTTCTCTGTTATTTTGAACTATGAAGCAAATTTTTGCTGTTTCTGCAGGTAAAAAATGAAAGATTCCTTACTGTGTTACAGAGCTTCAGACTGAGGCAGTAATGTGATCTCAAGTTCAGGAAAATGAAGTGAAACTGTAAAAAGGAAAGAAAGACCCAGAAAGGAGCTGACACAGGACTTGTCCAAAAACTGAACTGATCTGTTTTTGATTATCTGGAAATGTCTGATCAGAGTTTTATTGTTTAAAATAAATAGATAAAACTAAAAAAAACACAACTTTCCTGTTAATCAACTTAAACTCCAAAATGATCTGTTTATATTGTAATCTGACACTTTGAATTTACACTGGTGTCACTGCATATTAAAGAAAACACTGTAGTTTAATTTGAGCTGTTTCCTTAATCAAATTTTAAGAAGGAAATGTGTGCAGATACATTCGCTGACAATGTGTCATTTTGAGTGTAAGATTCAGTTCATTGTTTTCAGCCAATTCAACACATCTGGACAACATTTTCAAACATGTCAGCAGACGCATGAGTCAAAGACGATTGTGGAACATGAGGCTGCTGTGGTTGGTGTTCAGTCCCTGGATCCTCCTCTAGTCTGCACGTTAAAGTATCACTGAACAAGAGTTACAGTTTTAAATAAAGTTTTGAATCCACTGTGTCCACAGATCACTGTCTTTACACTGATGATAGATGGAAGATAATAGCACTCATTTTAAAGAGTCTGCAGGGAGCAAGCTAATCTCTAAGTGGGATTTCAATGTTTTTAATCAACTGTAGATTAATGTGTTCTGATATGAGGTTTGACAACAGCTATATGAACGAGGAAATGAGTAACAGACAGCTGCTTCAGGCTCACATGACAGAGGAGTCAGAGAACAAAATGAGAGTGAGGCAAAGAAAACCTTCAGCAGGTCAGATATGGTATCAATAACAGATCCATGCTTTCTCTTTGTTTAATAGAACACTGGAAGCTTTTCCCCTAAACCTCAGATGTGATGCTTTGTGGTTTCACAGTCACACTTATGTATGTAATTCCAAAGCCCTAACTTACCTGAGAATTCTGCACCATCTGCAGGGCCAACTCTCCAGCTCGCACAACCTAAGCCTATTGCAGCAATCAAGCCAGAGGATTTAGCCACAACATTGAGTATCATCACTACCAGATTTGTCAATTTTTTAACAGCTAGCTCAATTCTTGCTGACAGATTTAGACTCATTACTAACAAGCTTCTATTAGTGATGGCAAATAAAGCCCACATGAACACCTTGAAGCTTTTTCATCCAATTGGTCTACCCCAACCCATTTTTCTTTAGCGAGCTTCATGAAGCTTCATTTGCTCTAGCAGGACACCTACTGGACGTAAAAATAATAGCTGGCATGAATTTGAAGAGTGTGGCATTATGCACACAGCCTGTAAATGTCAACAACAAAAGGAGTGTGTAAAACATGTATATTGTAGTGATGGCAGTATACTGTGTATATTTATAGTGGCAGTATGGGAAATGATTATTTGGAAATGCTTGAAATGGAAATGATCATTTACTGTGAGGTGAGGTGTGGTTGGGGTGTGGACAGTAGTTGTGCTTTTGTAACGTTGAGGTATGGACAGCTACACACTGAGGCTTTGAGCCTCAGTCCTGCCTGTTCACATTTTATTCTGTAAAAACTAAATTTTCACTGCTTTTATGACCTTTTTAGTGGGGAGAACATAGCTAGGATTTAATGATTTAACAAATCTTTTGAATCCTTTGTCCTCCACAATGCTAAATGGCTGGGAGTCCTCAATCACCATGCTGACCAGGTCTTCATCTATTTGAGATTGTTCTCCTGAGGAAAGACAATAAAGATAAAGCACAAATATAAATATCACACACGTAACTTATAACAGTTGTATAATATTGTTATATCATTTAGTAACATTACTGCATCCTATATTATCATTGCATTTGATGGCTCACCTGGTCTTGCTCCACAATCGGTGTTCCCCTTATTCTCATGCAAAGCTCTGTAGTGCCTAAGCATGGATGAGGTGTTGTTGTTATATCCCAGCTCCCTGGCACATAGCAAACACTTCACCTTGTACAAAAGTCAAGACAGCTTAACATAAATTGTATTGCACCATCAGTATTATGAAAATACATCTTCTGTAGAAATTTACATACCTTGTTGGGAGGAATAAAATCAAAATGTTCCCACACAGGGGAGGACATCCTCCTCTTCTTAGCTGGCTCCATTCTCTCCTGACTTTCTCTCCTCACTCTCATAAACCTCCAAACGGTCTCCAAACTCTCACTAACCGCAACTCTCCATCAAACACCCACATTTTGAATGAAGTCTGAGGGGTTTATATCGCTGTCATATCTCGCGGCAAAGTTCGAACCACTTCATGAACCAGTCACGTGGTACAGCCGGGCAGCGAGGCTTCGGACGTCATCATTTTCAGCTCCTCCCATAAATGAAGCAAGCCTCGATACGCGCTTCGCGGAAACGCCCCCTCCATTACTCGACACACGCTCCGAAGCCTCGATACAGAACGTCCCATCACTACTTTCTTGTGCTGCAGTTGCTGAATTCACTTTGGCTCACACTCTACCTCTGGACTCAGGATACCAAGCAACCATTTTGAAAATCACTCTGTGCCTCACCTGCCTGCCCTCCTGCCATCACACTGCATCTGAAGACCCCGGATCTCAGGTCAGCCTTGTCACGCCACTCAGCTCCACTGGATTGTCATCACCCCCCTCTCAACACTCTATGTCCCCAACTGCAAGTAAGAATTGCTACTCTTACAACTTGCCACTTCAGAGCTGCCTCCACTACCTCCCTAACTCCACTCTCTTCTCTCTTCAGTGTGACTGTTCCCTGCTCAGCTCCACTCTGCATCTCAGGCCCCTTTCCCTTGCCCTAGCCACGTTTCCCAGGCCACGCCATGTCAAACTCCACGTCTTACTGGGTTTTTTTTTGTCCTTGCTACGTTTCTTGCGCTTAAGCCTAATAAATTATTGTTACATCATCTGCTGTCTCTGCTCTGGGGTTCTGCATCTGAGTCCTGTTCAGTACAGACCACTCGGTCCCGTGACAGTAATGCTTTGTGGTTTCACAGTCACACTGATGTATGTTTGTAGACTTACTGAAATAGCCCAGAGTGTCAGTCTGTTTGTGTCGCACTTCCCTGTGCTCAAGTGACTGTCAGTGTCATGCAGTTTGATTAAGCACTGAACAGTCTTCCAGTCTAGAAGGGAAGGTCTCAGGAGTAAAATTTCACAGTTAGGTTACATTTAGGTATTTGCTTTGATTTGTTCCCAAATAATGAAAACTACATTGTGGGCGGTGCTATATGACTGTTTTACTGTACACCCAATGTATAATAAATATTAATGACATTCAGCCTCACATGTTCCTTTTATTTATTTATTTTTAAAAATAGCTTGTTTTTAAAATTGATATAATAAAAGAAACATGAAGTTCCATATTAATCAGATCAGTGTGTACAGCACTAACGTCACCAATGTCTCTTTTATCTCTGGCGAGATGTTGAGTTATGTCCCTCTGCCGGTGAGAAGATGAACTGCATGGAGTCAGTTTAATGAACGTAGATGACATGAAGTGTTTTTAAATCAACCTTTGATAATTGTACAGATGACTGCTGATAACCATACTCACACCATGACACAAACAGTGATATCAATTAAAGTCATAATATGTCAAAGTCATAATATGATCCTGGGTGTACACCCAAACACATTACCACAGGGTAACACACTGAGAAATAATCATTCATACCGGTTTTTCACTTAAAAGAGCACTTTCTCAGCAGTTTTACTTTGTGATACTGTATTTATTTTGACCTAGGTTGAATTAAATGTTTATGAAGGTAGATAGATTTATAGATAGCTCTATATATATATATCAATCATAATAATCTGACAATACTATAATATTGGCCATATTATATTTTCATTACCACAGTGAGAGGACTTTAGTCTCATGAACAACATTAACTAATTGTTATTTACTAACAAATCTTGGAATGACTGTTCAGCACAGAAATGAAGCCCAGCAATCATGTTTTACAGTCCCGTGGTCTCAGCCTCAGATACTCAACTAATCAAAATGATGTCATGACAAAAATGAATGACCAACAAAACATTTTTCTCTTTCATTTCTGTCAAACAATGCTGTATAACGTGTCTCACAGAGTTAAAATGGCTGTGTCCCTGAATTGGGACAATGCCATTGGCTGTATCCCAATTCAGGGTCTGCAGCCTTAAAGGCCGCATTTTAATTACGTCACAGCGACGCGACGAAGGCTGTCCCAATTCAAAGGCTGCTCGAAATGCGGCCCTCAAATGCGTCCTTCATTTCACTGAATTTTAAGGATGTGGCAGTGTAGACTTGGTGGCCCAACATATCCCAGAATGCATAGCGCGGCTGTGGGTGTGGATAATTTTGCCGGGGAAAAAAAACGGCAGAAGAGGGGCGGCCGAAGAGCAAACTTTTAAAAGTAAGAACTGAATATTATGTTACTTATTTATGTGCGAATGCTTAATAACGAAGAACATTAAAACATTACTGTTGGCCACATGTCGGGAAAGGTATGTGACATTAGCGATGTTTGTACTAACTTGGTTTTAAAGCCTTTACTTTAATATATACGCCGTTCAATAGTTGACGTTAATCTTACAGAGAATGTGATGATTTTATGGATATTTAAAGTCAGCACTGAGACAAATTTAGTAATGCCAACATATTAATATGTCATTTTGGCAACCGTGGCTCAGGGGGTTGGGAAGCGTATCTGTAACCGGAAGGTCGCTGGTTCGATCCCTGGGTTCTCTGTCCT